CAGATTGTATTTAATTTCTCTGTTGAATTTTCTGTCTTCTTATGACTACCTTCCCTTACTGCTGTATTCTTCAAAACATGTACTGGGAGACGAAATGCAAGTGTTAATTCTTCATGTACATCTACTTTCATATCGTATCCTTTTTCCTGTACTCGTCGACCCTTACTGCTCTCAAATACACAGTTCAAGAAAATCTCCCACTTACCGGTAACAACTAAACTGTTACTTATCCATTATTTAAGAATATTAGAATATTATTATACATTTATTTAGTATTTAAGAACCCTACTAGCAGATTTTCTATATATTTCATCCGTATAACACAACGTACATTATTGGAAGCTTTGGGCTCGCACATCAATCAACATTTCGTTACTCAAATATGGAGTTAGTGAAGGAATCAATGGACACGTGTATGTATGTATGTATGTATGTATGTATGTATGTATGTATGCATATGGATGGATGGATCGATCTGGACAATTTGATGGATGGATAAATGGATGGACTGGTGCACCATGTACCGAAAATGACCTGCCACAAGTAGTACTTCATAACACTTCGTATTTTGAGCGCAATATATACTACTTTTGCTGGTCGGTGTGCATATGTTCAAAACTCCTGATAATGTATAAGAAATCTACTCATACTTTTTAAGTCCTGATTCTCAACGCCATCGCCTCTACATTATTTACCTACATCATTTTCGAACACATCCGGTCCCAGAAGTCACATTTTCAACAACGTTGGCCTTTATCGGCAGCCTATGAGCTTTACCATTTTCCCGAAATCATATAAGAACTCTACTAGATTTGTCAGTTGGATACGACTCGAAAGTGAGAGAAAATTTGAGGTCATTCTTGCCTTTTTCTCCCACCCGTTCCATATTTAGTCGTCTGTTTGTATTTCAATTTTGAGGTGGTGCATCGTTTACGATGTATTTGATAAATAAATAAATAAATAAATAATGCTGACAAAAGATCTAATGATATTCACTACGCTATTCTTAGGGTAAAATCGTGTCAAAGCCGTGATAACGAAGAAAGAGGACTTTTGTGATATTCAGGCTTTATTTGATGATTTATCGAGAACGGAAATCTAATATATGCACAATGCTATTCTTTTGGTAGAGATAATGCCAGACCAGTCGTGGGATAAGAATAAATGATGAATCATTATTAATGTTTTTTATAAGAAAAAGATTTCGTAGCTCAAACGTTCATCGCTTCATTTGCGTAATTTTGTTACCTCCCAACAACTTGATCAGTTATTTGAAGGCCACCAATCTATTGGTCCAATTAATCCACTTGCTCCATTCAATTGCAAAACCGCGCCGGCACTGATCTGTCATTTGGCGTCGCGTAGTTCTGTAATTTCGTGGTAATAATTCTGCGCCCAGCAACGCCAAGTGACAAATCAGTGCCGGCGCGTTTAGCTTAGAATAGATAAAGTTGATAGAGTGGATCGCTTTCTTTTAAGGAAAGTCGACGTTGCTACTTGGTTTCCTGACAAAAAGAAGAAGAACAGATGAGAAACTAGTGTTCTGATCGGCGTGGGGAGACCAGCACAGGTTTCTGGTAGTAGCGAAAAGCAGAGTAGTACAATCAAGGCATGCTTATATACAGGACACTCTCTCAACATTGTGAACTATCTCGTCAAAGCTGTCTTGCTGCAAATACTCAAACACTCTTTGATAATTGACGCATCCCATTATGAAGCTCGATGTGAACAGCGCAGCACAACAACATTAAAAAGAATCTCGCTGAATACATCACAAGCATTAAGCGATATAGAAGCAGATAAGCGACAAGAGTTTAGCATAACCATTTTGTATCGTTACAAACAGCCAGATCGTGTCCCAAAAATCTTTGAGCCTAATATTTCTTCAGCTAAAATTGTATGAAGCAACATAGACATATGTAGCATGTGATTTGTGAAAAGCCTACAAAACAACAACGTACACTCATATCCCAAAGCACCCTTGGCCCTCAAACTCTTGCGGAACGCATGCCGCGGCAGATAGGTTGGCATTGATTCTCATACTTTCTGAAGCACGCGTTCCGGACTGTCCAAATTTTTGAAGAGAGCAAGCCTTGCACTTCAAGACTGGTCACAAAGAAAAGCCAAGGGCTTCTGACTTGGCGATTGAAAGCGCAAAATGAGGAGCATTTCGGTGAAATTAAACAAAGGTGTCAAAATGCAGTAATCAGGCTCTTGAGACCATAAGAAAATGGCAATATGGTGTGCCAGGAGTGACTTCAAAACAGTAATTTGGCAAAAAATGCAAGGTTTACAGTTGGAATTGGTGGCTTAGACTGACTTGGTGTCCAAGTTTGCAACTTGTTTAGGTTTTTTATTCTCGAAAATGTTTTTTCCTGGTGGCACGGCACTACTTTGAGAGTTTGCATCTAAATCCTACGTGAACAAAGACTGGCAAAAAGGGCCCGGCATGCGTTGGTTTGGAGCATTTTTGGAAACGAAGTCCCCTATGAATTCGCGAAAATTCGCGAAATCCTTTTTGACGCAAAAGTTGGTAGGGTAACTCTTGTTCAATCAACATTACAATACACAACGATAGAAAAGCGAAAAAAGCGAGTTTTGAGGTATAACAAAAAAATAAAAAAAAACGTATAGTATAACAAAAAAAATCTAATATAACAAAAAAGCAAAAAAAAACATTCTGAGTCAATTTAATTTTTTGGTATGGTACCATTTTGGTGTTCAGGACGTTGAAAACCTCTTAGGCCAATCAAAACTGTGACCCGAACAATTCGGCGATGCATTTTTCGCTACATAGTTTAAAGGCAGCGGCTCGGCAGATTGACCTACCTCAGATTTTGACACTGGATGGGAGGCCCTTCCAAGAGAACCAAAACAGCAACTCCACACCGAAAATGTGAACTCTGCAAGCCAGGGGGCCCGAGCGCCGCTCCTCTTCCTCCTTTCGCTCTCCTAACACCTTGTTCGGACGAGTATTCTCCGCTAGACGGCGCGGGACCCTCCAACCGCTTTCCTGAATTGTGCATGCTATACAAAGCCAAAATTACAGGCAGCAAGGTCTTCGTGCCAAGGCCTCCGACTTTCCTTTGAAAATTCTCGTCCGACCTGCCCTTTGGAAATTGAAGAAAACGCCCCGAAAAAGGCCGAATCATAGTCAATATGCGAAAAACTCATATGCAAACTTTGGCTGAAAATCGATGAATACTAACAAATGATACGATGATTAGCGATAGTACCAAGCATGACAATACAGATGTACAAAAGTTCGATAATAATTTCGTTATAAAATTTTTCAGTAGGTGCGATCTTCATGGTGGTTGGCAGTGCTGCATTGGCGTTTGAGATGCAGAAACTGTGTCCAATTGTTTTCATGTTTTTTCCTCGGTTTACGACTACCTCTACCCATTCCATGGTGGCATCTGCAAAAGCATGCTGCTTCTCGAAGTACCCACTCTAAATTTCATAACGGCCATTTGTATTCTGTCGTTTTCGCATTGTGACTCAACGACAGAATACCTCAAGAAAGGTGTTGCGTACTCCGTCGGATCACGAAGACAAGGAAAAGTATGAAATGAAAATAGAGTACACAAACATGATAAGCGACGGTAACACAGAAGCGCGAATGATCGAATAAGAAGAAAAAGATTACGTAACTAATGTTACCAAGAGATTTTTTGGGATTTCTGATGCGCATATTGTGTGATACATTTATCTGTTTATTTATCTATGCAATAAGCTCTTGGCTTCTCACCGCAACGATAGTGTGTCATATAGTTTGGGTCTAATCTGGATGAAAGGTGATGAAAGCTTGTATTTGACTGCTCTTATAGTTATTAGAATTGAATAATGTGATTCATGGAGGTGGGAACCCATGCCCTTTTGCCAGCAAAATGATTTTGATTCTAACAAGCAAACGAGGTTTGATGATGTCTGATCTCACCAAACCAGTAAATCAGGGAAAGCAGTGACTCCAACTGAATTGCAATAAAGGCATAATGAATGTATGACACAGTGAGCAAGAGATTGAGTCAGCAAGCTTGATTTTACGAATTTTTGTAAGAAAATGTCGCAAAAAAGTTCGAAAGCATTCACTTTTTTTGGCATCTCGATTCAAAAATCGGGCATTTTTAAATTATTTCACTTATCTCCGCTGGATGATGAGAAAATGCTAGCGCTTCTCTACCATCAAATGAACTAGGTCTACTCTTGCTGGATAGTGTGAAAGACCTGCAATTTTTTGCTTCAAAGTTTTATATGGTACGGAAGGGCCGCGACGATCATCTAAGTTTGCAGTTGAATTTCTCGGCTTAGAATTCGTGGAGAGTTTTGTTCAAATAGCGTCTTGTAGTATAAAGTTTCCTTATCTTTATGCATATTGTTTGAAATCAATCCGGCTATTCCTCATGATTGGATTTGGTGCAAAAGGAGTGAAAAGCAACAATTGTGGGATTCAGCCTCTTTTACTTGAAGGCTCAGAACATTGGAATTAACGGAGATGTACGAAAGCGAAGGAAACTAGAAAAAACGCTCCTTCAGATAGCGTTAAAGGTTTTTGAGAAATTGATTACACATCAAATACCAGCTCTGGAAAAAGAGGTGAGAAAAACGTGAATTAATTATGAATCAACTCAATATTTATTTATTGATTTGTTTATTTACTTATTTGTTTATTTACTAATATGCACGCAAAGGTGCACCAAAAAATCAGATCATTGTATAAGAGGCACCTTTGCTGGAATAGGTCTAACAAGTTTTCTTAACAAGAAGAAATATCCCGGTTTGATATATATTTTCTTCAGAACGAATCGTCTTTGCACTAAAGATTTCACCCTCGAAGGCATACGAATGAGAAAGGATGTATTTACGTTACCAATAAGGGCCATTCACTACTGTGCTGACTACTATGCCTCGCCGATGGAGTTCGATCCCGAAAGGTTTTGAAACAATGTTGACTTTGAAGGTGCCTTAGAGATCCTATGGCGCTACAGTAAAGATGGGCAATGGAAAATAGCTCACTGCAAGATCCACTCTCTTTCGTACCATTCGGTTATGGACCTCGAAATTGTATTGGAATGCGGGTAGCACAAATGCAGATGAAAGTGACTATGGTACACATTCTTCGCAAATACGAGTTTCGACCAGGAGAAGTTTTGGTGAGATCATTCAGTATTTATTTTATTCAAAGCATTGAAAATTCTCACTAAAGTCAGAGAGCATACCTTCGATACATAGAGCCATGTACTCTGGTAACCTTCACTTTGAGCGTCATGATAGAACACAACCTTCACCAGGGGAGAAGTACAGAAGTCATCCGGGGCGAAGCCCCGGAAATTATGACATAACTAATGACATAATTGTATAGGGATGAATTTAAATGAGACAAATATAGCAGTGACATTCAAAAGAAGCTCAAAAAAAAACGAAGGATTGCGTTTTTATGGCCTTTTTTGTTGAGAAGAGGGTTTTAATTTAAAAATTCTATCAAATACTAGGGCAAAATTTCTCAATTAACCTTTCTCTGAACTGCGGTTGAACGTTGGAAGTTCATTAAAGCCGCTAGAGTTCAATAAAAACGAAAAACTGCGCTCAAATCTTGCGCAAAGAGTCGCCTGAATGAATGAATGAAGAATGCTGGTCTATCTCGTTATGGAGTGATTTTCAAGACCCGCGACGTTGTCAGTGCTCCTGGCCGTCTCATGAGGATCACAACGATATATAATTTTGCAGGGTTTCGTTGAGACCCTGCAAAGATCCACGACCAGAGCCAAATGCCCCGTCAGCTCTGGTCTGTCTCCGCTGCTCGTCTGCGTCTCCGCGCGCTGCGCGCTACCTCGCTACCTCAAATGCGGGGCGCGGGGCATTTGGCTCTGGGACCCTTTTCTTAGTTGTTCGGAGCCCAATTTCGATAATCTATATATCATATTAAAGCTCTTGATCTCTATTTTCACGCTGACAACGTCGCGGAACTTCTTTTTGGGATTTAAACGAGAAATCCTCGAAAAACGGCGTTTTCGAAAACCTCTTGTTTTTTCTTCATTTTAACTTTTTTCACTCGGTTTTTTTGTGCATTCGATAGGTCTTGTTTCTGTCTATGATGTAGACAACGTCGCCGAGCTTACTTCTTTGCTTATGCCGGTTTTTTTTGTGAAAAATACAAAAAAGTGCGTTTTTCCTTACCTTGTTCTCTTTCTGTGCTTTTGCAGCGAATTTTTTCCAGCTTGGACGATACTTGCTCAGAATGATGAGCGGAAGAATCCAGACAACGTCGCAGCGTACGAAATGACTATGCGGGGGTGAAAATTTGAAGGACGCATCAAAAATCAAATTGGCGTCGATGTGCAACACAGCTTTACAGACATGTTTAACATGTTCAATTCAGTTGTTGAGAAGTTCTTCTTCTTTCGGTCTCCCAACTAACGCCACAGCTAAACAGCGCTTTTTTTTGACTGGAAAAGAACTTTGTTGTTGTTGTCACCCAATTTTAACGGCAATCCTGGAGACGAAACTGCGTAGGAAACCACCAAGTTAAGGTTTCAGATTTGGTGATGTGCCAACCTCTGCTTTATATGAATTTTCTAAGTTTTCTAATTTAATTTGTATCTCTAAATTCGTCTATTTTTCTGAAACAACCTTCACTTTTTATAGGGGGCAAGAACTCAAACAACTATCACTTTCAAGCCCTTGTCTCTTGACTATCGAAGGTATGCCAGAGAGTATTTTAGGGACCCTCTTCGCATCAATATGGGTAGCACGAAGACCGCTGAAGAACTAAATATTGTGCTCAGATGAATTCACCATTAGACATTTCACCATTTCATTTCACCATTCACCATCGCCTAGATTATTTCAAATACAAGTTCTCATCGCGTGCCTAGATCGTTTCAAATACAAGTTCACATGTGTACCCCTCTCTTTTCAATCAGTATAGCTTGTTGACTTGCTTCTAGTGAATTACTAACGTGAAACTATCTGATATTATTTCGGAGTCATTGAACTCTCCCCGCAATTATTTGGTCAAATGAATTGGCATGATTGCCATCTCCATAGATTACAATAAACTGACTCAATCTCTTGCTCACTGTGTCATACATTCATTATGCCTTTATTGCAATTCAGTTGGAGTCACTGCTTTCCCTGATTTACTGGTTTGGTGAGATCAGACATCATCAAACCTCGTTTGCTTGTTAGAATCAAAATCATTTTGCTGGCAAAAGGGCATGGGTTCCCACCTCCATGAATCACATTATTCAATTCTAATAACTATAAGAGCAGTCAAATACAAGCTTTCATCACCTTTCATCCAGATTAGACCCAAACTATATGACACACTATCGTTGCGGTGAGACGCCAAGAGCTTATTGCATAGATAAATAAACAGATAAATGTATCACACAATATGCGCATCAGAAATCCCAAAAAATCTCTTGGTAACATTAGTTACGTAATCTTTTTCTTCTTATTCGATCATTCGCGTTTCTGTGTTACCGTCGCTTATCATGTTTGTGTACTCTATTTTCATTTCATACTTTTCCTTGTCTTCGTGATCCGACGGAGTACGCAACACCTTTCTTGAGGTATTCTGTCGTTGAGTCACAATGCGAAAACGACAGAATACAAATGGCCGTTATGAAATTTAGAGTGGGTACTTCGAGAAGCAGCATGCTTTTGCAGATGCCACCATGGAATGGGTAGAGGTAGTCGGAAACCGAGGAAAAAACATGAAAACAATTGGACACAGTTTCTGCATCTCAAACGCCAATGCAGCACTGCCAACCACCAAGAAGATCGCACCTACTGAAAAATTTTATAACGAAATTATTATCGAACTTTTGTACATCTGTATTGTCATGCTTGGTACTATCGCTAATCATCGTATCATTTGTTAGTATTCATCGATTTTCAGCCAAAGTTTGCATATGAGTTTTTCGCATATTGACTATGATTCGTTGAAAAAAATTGTACGGTTTGCATTGTGCACATTCAAAAATTGTTCTTGAAGCAAAAAGGCTACGATTTTGATTTTGTCAGCCAATGGAAATGTACCCACCGTTCAAACATGTCTACCTCTTTTAAATTTCAAGCTTTTGCGAAACTCTAAGTCGCAAATTGTAGAACCAGCTTCGCTCTTACATGGACTGACGCTTACCAGCAGGGCCCGGCCCAGTTTAACCCCTGGTTCGGGGTCAAACTGGACTTCGTTTTTGAGCTTAGAAGCAACGGGGATATCGTTTTTATAAGTTCCTGGGCGTCAAACTGTTCTTTCGTAAGCGTGCGAATTTCAAACGCAAGACATAGACAAACAAACAAATGGCTTGCCTACAGCGCACAAACAATCACATAGCACCGAATTTGGGCTATATGTATACAATATTACTTCAAAAATTTTCAGAAACTTATGCGTCCTAATACCCGCTCCCGAGTTTGCTGGTTTCTAGACCAACACCAAACCAACTGGGTTGGTTCAGAGCATAAATATCGGAGAATTCGCATAAGTTTTGGACCTTTTTGATTTGAAGAGAACGCTTCAAAATCTATCATATAGCGAAGAGAGCGGAGCAAACAATTGCTTCTCCTCTTTTTTAAGCCAAAAATAGTGTAAACCAAAGCATTGATAGATATGGCGCTCCAATCACACACGTTTCCTTTGAAGGCGCGTCCCGGCAGATTTTGCATTTCCATCTTTTTGCATGTTTTGGGCCTTCTCGACCCTTAGATCCCGAATCTGAGCTTCAAAAGGGGTGAAAAGGCCTTTTTCGGGGCGTTTTCTTCAATTTCCAAAGGGCAGGTCGGACGAGAATTTTCAAAGGAAAGTCGGAGGCCCTGGCACGAAGACCTTGCTGCCTGTAATTTTGGCTTTGTATAGCATGCACAATTCAGGAAAGCGGTTGGAGGGTCCCGCGCCGTCTAGCGGAGAATACTCGGAGAATACTCGTCCGAACAAGGTGTTAGGAGAGCGAAAGGAGGAAGAGGAGCGGCGCTCGGGCCCCCTGGCTTGCAGAGTTCACATTTTCGGTGTGGAGTTGCTGTTTTGGTTCTCTTGGAAGGGCCTCCCATCCAGTGTCAAAATCTGAGGTAGATCAATCTGCCGAGCCGCTGCCTTTAAACTATGTAGCGAAAAATGCATCGCCGAATTGTTCGGGTCACAGTTTTGATTGGCCTAAGAGGTTTTCAACGTCCTGAACACCAAAATGGTACCATACCAAAAAATTAAATTGACTCAGAATGTTTTTTTTGCTTTTTTGTTTTATTAGATTTTTTTTGTTATACTATACGTTTTTTTTTATTTTTTTGTTATACCTCAAAACTCGCTTTTTTCGCTTTTCTATCGTTGTGTTTTGTAATGTTGATTGAACAAGAGTTACCCTACCAACTTTTGCGTCAAAAAGGATTTCGCGAATTTTCGCGAATTCATAGGGGACTTCGTTTCCAAAAATGCTCCAAACCAACGCATGCCGGGCCCTGTTTGCCAGTCTTTGTTCATTACGTAGGATTTAGATGCAAACTCTCAAAGTAGTGCCGTGCCACCAGGAAAAAACATTTTCGAGAATAAAAAACCTAAACAAGTTGCAAACTTGGACACCAAGTCAGTCTAAGCCACCAATTCCAACTGTAAACCTTGCATTTTTTGCCAAATTACTGTTTTGAAGTCACTCCTGGCACACAATATTGCCATTTTCTTATGGTCTCAAGAGCCTGATTACTGCATTTTGACACCTTTGTTTAATTTCACCGAAATGCTCCTCATTTTGTGCTTTCAATCGCCAAGTCAGAAGCCCTTGGCTTTTCTTTGTGACCAGTCTTGAAGTGCAAGGCTTGCTCTCTTCAAAAATTTGGACAGTCCGGAACGCGTGCTTCAGAAAGTATGAGAATCAATGCCAACCTATCTGCCGCGGCATGCGTTCCGCAAGAGTTTGAGGGCCAAGGGGTGCTTTGGGATATGAGTGTACGTTGTTGTTTTGTAGGCTTTTCACAAATCACACGCTACATATGTCTATGTTGCTTCATACAATTTTAGCTGAAGAAATATTAGGCTCAAAGATTTTTGGGACACAATCTGGCTGTTTGTAACGATACAAAATGGTTATGCTAAACTCTTGTCGCTTATCTGCTTCTATATCGCTTAATGCTTGTGATGTATTCAGCGAGATTCTTTTTGATGTTGTTGTGCTGCGCTGTTCACATCGAGCTTCATAATGGGATGCGTCAATTATCAAAGAGTGTTTGAGTATTTGCAGCAAGACAGCTTTGACGAGATAGTTCACAATGTTGAGAGAGTGTCCTCTATATAAGCATGCCTTGATTGTACTACTCTGCTTTTCGCTACTACCAGTAAACCTGTGCTGGTCTCCCCACGCCGATCAGAACACTAGTTTCTCATCTGTTCTTCTTCTTTTTGTCAGGAAACCAAGTAGCAACGTCGACTTTCCTTAAAAGAAAGCGATCCACTCTATCAACTTTATCTATTCTAAGCTAAACGCGCCGGCACTGATTTGTCACTTGGCGTTGCTGGGCGCAGAATTATTACCACGAAATTACAGAACTACGCGACGCCAAATGACAGATCAGTGCCGGCGCGGTTTTGCAATTGAATGGAGCAAGTGGATTAATTGGACCAATAGATTGGTGGCCTTCAAATAACTGATCAAGTTGTTGGGAGGTAACAAAATTACGCAAATGAAGCGATGAACGTTTGAGCTACGAAATCTTTTTCTTATAGAAAACAATAATAATGATTCATCATTTATTCTTATCCCACGGCTGGTCTGGCATTATCTCTACCAAAAGAATAGCATTGTGCATATATTAGATTTCCGTTCTCGATAAATCATCAAATAAAGCCTGAATATCACAAAAGTCCTCTTTCTTCGTTATCACGGCTTTGACACGATTTTACCCTAAGAATAGCGTAGTGAATATCATTAGATCTTTTGTCAGCATTATGCATATAAAGCAGTCGTCTAGGACATCGGTACAGAGCACATTTGTTTTTGGTGTTTTTATTGTATGAAGCTTTCAAGAGCTCGTCTTTTTGCATAAATGTGTCATATCAGCTTTGGAGACAGTAATGATTGTATTTTAGCAAACAACAACTGAAATTGCCAAACGATGCTGTTTTGGAAGGCTATTGTTATGGTACAGTTCGCATTTTCATCCAGAATTCTAGAGAAATGACGAAAGATCTTTAGGCACTGCTGATATGTCTTCAATTCGGCCCCGCAAGTTCTGCACCGAAGACACCAAATGACAAAAAGGACGAACCGAAACAGAAGTGAAGTGCTTGACATTCATTTGCTACATGCTGTCCATGAATCGTTGTGGGGATAGCAGCATAAATTGTTCGCATCAAATATTCAACACTACACAGTATAGTCTATACTAGTGCAGTTGACTGCACGCAATCGCTCAAGCTGAGCGCTCGCGAGATGTCTCTTGGGGCTAAGCATGGCACTCGCGCATAAGTCATCATAGCTCCCGCCTATTGTAGGCGCGTTGCAGGCAAGCTGGCGGGCGTTCTGCCTACAACGACGTGGGGGATTTGGTGCAGTCAACTTTAATACTTAGTTAGTTTTTTATTTGGCAGTAAAGCATTGCTACAAAATAGTACACTTCAGGCCTATCTTTGGCTTCAATCTTCGACTCACCAACGATGATTTGGTAGCATGTACGGGAAATAAATAATAACTAATGATGTTGCGGCATGATTTTTCTTCTATACCTTCGCGTCCTTGGCGAATTTGCCCAGTTTCTTGAAAGTCATGTAAGAAGAGTTCAAAACATTATTTTAAAAAATTCAGAAAGTCACTTTGAGATTGCACAGAAACGGCGCTTTGCAAAGTTTGCTCTCTTTGACTGTTAATTCTTTTTCGCAGTTCAAAATGGTTATAAATAGGGCAAAAGCGGAGAGTTCAAAACAGCTGGGTTTGAAACTTTGACGATTTTTGCGATCACAAATCAATTATTTCAGACTAAAATCGCCGAAAATGATGTCATTTTTAATTCGTTTTTGAATCTCCAAAAACCTTTGATGGTCCTTCCACGATTTTTTGAGGGCAAGAGTTCAAACTTCTATTAAATCGTCCTTAAAATTCGTTTGAATTTCCAAGAATTCGTAGGTTATATAACCTGCTCTTTCTACAATCAATCGAAGTCCAAGCTCAATTATTGATGAATCTTGGCATGAGGTAGTTATTTGTATTCGTAATCTGTAGCCAATAACCAAGATTGTTAATACGCTTTATTCAGTCAGGCCTGACTGAATATAGCGTATCAACAATCTTGGTTATTGGCTATAGAATACGAATAAAAATGACATATGTTTATTTTGGCATTTCTCTTGAGAATAATAACTTTTGATTTGACCTCTCCATCAACACAAACTTGTTCATTTAGAAACAGCAAGTCCTAAAATTTATAACATCAGTTACTCCGATTTTGAGCGCAAGATTTAAATTTTTTAAACGACTTTGCAAGCAAAATGGAAATTTGAGTAATTTTCATCTGCAGCTTATTTCCCTCTATGAAGGATAGAAGGCCACCCAGGTGCCATTGCTAAGTTTCCTCTTTCTAAAAGAATCGACTATGTGCAAATCCTTTAGAAAAATTAGAAGTTATGAATGAACATGATGCGAACCAACTTTCAAGACGACAGAACTTAATAAACACTAATAGGGTCGGTCATGAACCCTGGCAGCAGCCCTGCCGAATCATTATCTCCCAAACTTCCTAGGGTAAAGACCTGCCGACTAGGAAGTCTTTCAAGTGGTCTCGAAAAACTATTTCTTCCGATGCTGATAATTATCACAAAGTTTCACAATTTCGTAAAAGTAAGGTTAACAAAATATACACACTAGACAATTTCGGTAACAACAATAACACAACTGCATGTTGTACCAAATGCATCATATGTAAACAAATGGACCACAATCCATACATCATAAGTAATACCACAAAACTCAAAATCTACACGTTTTGCAAGAACAATGGTAACTGCAAAGACCATAACGTAATCTATTGCATCACATGTAATGAATGTAATAAACAATATGTTGGTTTAACAACTCGAGATCTGAAGAGCAGAATTAGAGAGCATATCTATCATTCTAAAAAGAATGATATAAGTAACATTTTATATAACCACTTCAAAACATGTACAAATAGAAGTATAACAGTCCAGATATTGAACAATCTAGAAACAAACAAAGATAAAAACATCCTGTTGAGTAAAGAACTTTTTTGGATCAAATTACTCAACACTGCATACCCTTTTGGGTTCAATGACAATATCAAAGGGTACGGAAATATATCCGATATTGATAACCCTCTCTTACAAAAAGAAACACATCCATACTATAGTTTAAAAATAACAAAAGACAGAATACGCAGCCAGTATAGACATAAAAATAAAAACAAAGAAACATTAGATACATTCTTAGAAAAAATCAACAATAAAAATACACAACAAGACTTATTCCGATACATTCATTCATTGAAAAAATGTTTTTTGAAACAGGTAATTACAGCATGTTTTGATCCCACATTTTTGAACAAAATTGAACAAAATAAAAGACAACTATTTTGAGCATACTTTGCAAATTTTTGTTCAATGAAGTCAAAAAAGAAAATCAAAACATTAATTGTGTCAATGTCAATGTTGAATACATTCACAGTATATTAGACGAAGTCAATCTGAATAAAATCATCAATAACAGTTATATAAAAAACATTCTCAAAAATAACAATAACAATTACAATCCCTGCAGACTTGTATACAAATACAAAAATCCATTTTCTCAAACAATTTTTAATTATAACTCCATTCTTGCTAAACTTAATTTAGATAGAATAGACCAAATTCTAACCCAGGAATGCAAATGCAAAAAGCAAGAAATGAAAAAATATGTTGACAGTAACCATGGACACATAGTTACCGGAAATTTGGAAATAATCAAAGACAAACAGTTAAAATCTATAATGAGTAAAGGTACCAAATACCGATTACACAACAACATCAATAAAAAAATGATAGATTGGATTAACTCAACAGTTGAACTCATTATGAATAGTTACATCAAAAAATACAAAATTAAAAATGAAGAATTCAAAAATATAAAAACTTTTCTTCTAAAAAAATTCAAACACAGATTCAAACCACTTCTTTATAAAAGAAAACTGAATAATAAACAATACCTAAACGAACAAAATTACAACTTTGAAAATAAATATATCAAAAACTTTAAAAAGCATTTCGTAATTTGTCCATTAAATAAAGCAAATAATAATTTTGGTATAATTTGCATAAAGCTATACATCCAAACCATAATGAAAGAATTAGGTATCGCTTATAACAACAAAAAAATAATATTTGATGCAAACGAAACTTATAACCTATGCAAAGAAAATGCCAATGATATTAGGTTGTCTCATAATTAATGCACGTTTTTATTTGCTTGCTTTAACAAAGCAACCAGACTCAACCCAACAAAGGGTAAGGGGTACCGCCCGATAGAGCCAAGCAAGCTCTACAAGATGGCACTCATGTCTTTGCGCCATGCTCGATCCACGGAGAGTTCGAACTCAAAATCTAAAAATTTCCAAATACCCAAAAAATCGAAAAAATCAGATCTTCGTCCAAATAATTTCTACGGACCTCCCACTCGCTCACATCAATACTATCGATATCTGATATCCATATGTGCGATTGCCGTATTTTTTCCTTGACTAGAAACTGAGAAAACGAAAATTTCCCTGATTTTCTCAAAGCATTGCTTAGCCGTTTTTGCATATGTAGTTCTATACTACAAGCCTAGGTTAGCATAACTGTAGGTTTTCAGCCCATTCCAAGCGGTAGTTTTCGAAAAATAACGAATTCGGATTTTTTCGTTTCAGTTTCAGTGCTAAAATCGACATTTCTCGAAAAGTACCGCTCGAAATAGGTTGAAAACCTACAGTCATGCTTACCTAGGCTTGTAGTATAGAACTACATATGCAAAAACGGCTAAGCAATGCTTTGAGAAAATCAGGGAAATTTTCGTTTTCTCAGTTTCTAGTCAAGGAAAAAATACGGCAATCGCACATATGGATATCAGATATCGATAGTATTGATGTGAGCGAGTGGGAGGTCCGTAGAAATTATTTGGACGAAGATCTGATTTTTTCGATTTTTTGGGTATTTGGAAATTTTTAGATTTTGAGTTCGAAGTCTCCGTTGATCGAGCATGGCGCAAAGACATGAGTGCCATCTTGTAGAGCTTGCTTTGCTCTATCGGGCGGTACCCCTTACCCTTTGTTGGGTTGAGTCTGGTTGCTTTGTTAAAGCAAGCAAACAAAAACGTGCATTAATTATGAGACAACTTAATATAATAGAAAAACACATAAAATTTTACGATAACAACAAATTACCATCACAAAATATAAGTAACATTCCCTTAATAACTGTCTACCAAAACTCCATAAAAACCCTATCAAATTTAGATTCATTACTGGAGCTACGCATAGTAGCATTAAACCACTAGCTTTAGAATTAAGAATTAGAATCTCTTTCAATACATCAAAACACATTTTAAAAACTATGTACAAGCTATAAAAAACAAAAAATATTTTTATAATTATTGTTCTATAGACAATATCGATATCAGTAACAAACTATCGAATATCAACATAAACAACATGCAAATATATTCAGCTGATTTTACTAATATGTTTACAAGTCTACCACATAGCATAATAAAAACAAATCTCAAAGAACTTCTTTCACTATGCTTCAAAATGCAAACAAAAAATACTTAACGTATAATGGTTTTAATAAAATATATTATGCCGATACTATAAACACAAAATCAAAAAATAGATACTACACTATTTCTGATTTATTATATTACATAGATTATATACTTGACAACAGTTTTTGTAGATTTAGTACGTACATCCTAAAACAAAAAGTTGGTGTACCACAGGGAGGTAATTTTAGCCCTTTAATGGCAGATCTCACGTTATCTTGATATGAATATAAATACTTGATTCAGAAAACCAATTACAATAATCACTTTTATGTATTCCGATATATGGACGATTTATTAATCATACATAACAGCACAGAAACTGAAGTTCATAATACAATCATCAACGTATATGAAAACAAACTAGATTTAGATACTACACACGAGGATAAATTCAACTGTAATTATCTCGACTTAAACATTACAATTGTAAATGACAAGATAGTAACCAAAATGTATAATAAGACAG